ACCAATTGCATCGGAAGCAGTTATTAGAAGGTGATAAGATTTCACCTTTAATCACGCAAAATTCAATTATTTGTTTCCTTGATATGTGGTATTTTTGCAAATAAAATCTACAGATCTAGTCAATCTGCTAATATTATAAGACGACATTATTTATGTAATAAAAAGTTGGAAGTAACGTGCAGGATGCAAATTCCTCTATATACAACACGTATTTTCATAAAATATTTTATATTTTAATATTTAAATGTGATTTTTTGCAATTTTGTGAAAGTATCAAACACGTTTGACATAACCAAAATGATTTGGATCAAAATGCTGATGAAATCCAACACTACAAAATAAATGTTATATTCCAACGGAAAATCCTATGGTAATATATTCCAATAGAAATTCCAACGGATATTCCAATGGAATAGCTTCCGTTGGAATAATTCCAACAGAAATTCCAATGGAAATATTCCGTTGGAATGTGTTTTTCATTGGAATTTTAGATGGAATTTGATTATTCCAACGGCTATATTTCCAACGGCTTTTTACCTTAGGAATTTCCGTTGGAATATGCAAATTCCGTTGAAATTTTTTTTCCACTTCCGTTGAAAAATCCACCGTTGGAATCGTCAAAATCCAACAGAAATTCCAATGGAAAACCCATTCCAACGGAATATTTTTGTTCGAATTTCCGTTGGAATCCATTGAAAAATTCCAACGGAAATAATAGTATGGAAATATCCGTTGGAATTACTGTTGGAATAATTCTTTTGAAATAGATTTCCGTTGGAATTTAATCATTTTCTTGTAGTGCAAGAATTCGTTGCAGCGTAAGATTATTTTGTTACTCATTTTAATTTTACAAATTTTAAATTTTTTGTGGGTTTATTAGTAATTTAATAATCGTACTATTATTTTTTTATTTATTATTCATATGAATTATTTATAAATAACTTAAGGATAGAGGAGTTTTTAACATTTGAAATATATTAAATTGTTAATTTTGGCATTACACTATCTAAAATATTCATAGTTTTATTTTGAAGTTGGAAATCATTGTGTTTGTGTTGTTATCGAGTCATTCACGAGGATTATTGATATCATTCTACATGGTATATCTACGATTAAAAACCTCGATTAAATGATTCCATAATGGATATGTAGTAATTTCCTATAAATCAAAATCAAATCAGGATTTAGATGCCATGTTTCTTACTTTTTTCCTCATTAATCCACGTTATTTTCCTTTTGTCACCTTTCACTCAAATCTATCTATATATTATTAAAAGAATAACCTTTTTAGATATTTGGCGCCAATTATATAAAACACCCGTACATCGAAAAAATCTTATCCCATCTTTAATATGTTATCTTATCTCATCTTTAATCTGTTCACCCTTCTGTCCACACTTAATTCCATACGGAAAAAATCCTATTATATACATCCCTATAAATTTTAAAAATCTCATCTCTTATCTATTTATTCTAACATATTTTTTCCAAGAAACTATTGTAACAGAATTTCTTTTTCTTAAAACAACTTAATTGTCTAATCACAAATATAAATCATTCTTTTTCTTAAAACAAGTTAATTGTTTAATCGCAATATAAATCATTCGTTA